GGAGCTTTGCGAATTGCGATCGGCAACTCTGCTGGATCCTGCTGCTGTGCATCCCGCATGTTCTCTTGGTCTCCGTCTTCTATGCTGATTGGTATCTCACCGCCGTCCTCACTGTCAGCAATATCTGGAAAAAGAGGGGGAGATAGCTGACTCCCACTCACCTCTTTGGTCTTGTACACCGCATTCTCATGAAATACGACGTCACAACTGCGCACCACCTTACGCACATCGTGATCCCAGAAACGGTACCCATACTCATCTCCTCCATAGCCGATGAAAGAGAGCTTCTTTGACTTTGGATCAAGCTTTGACCGGTCTGTAGGATTGGTCATGACATAGGCGTCACAACCAAATACTCGTAAGTGCTCTAGCTTCAGCTTCTTTCCGGTCCAAGCCTCTTCAGGTATCCCATAATTGAGAGCCGCGGATGGCCCGCGGTTGATCAAGTATGCAGCAGTATTGACAGCTTCAGCCCAAAAGCTCTTGGGCAATCCGGAGTGGATCCTCATACTTCTGGCGCGCTCCAAGATAGTGCGATTCATGCGCTCCGCCACTCCGTTGTGCTGAGGTGTGCCTGGGACGGTCTTCAGTCTCCGAATCCCACGGGACGAGCAGAAGTTCTCGAACTCCTGGCTGCAATACTCGCCTCCATTATCAGACTTTAGGCACTTCAGCTTATTGCCTGTTTCGTTCTTCACACAGGCAAGCCACTTCTTGAAGATGATGAATACATCTGACTTGTGCTTCAAGAAGAACACCCACAATTTTCTCGTAGCATCATCAATAAAAGTGACAAAGTAAAGAGAGTTACCAACAGATGGGACTTGCGCAGGTCCCCACACATCGGTGTGCACCAACTCCAATTTCTACAGTTTTGGAGCCGGTCCTGTCTTGTTGAAGCTCACCTTCTTTTGTTTGCCTAGGATGCAGTCCTCACAGAAAGTCAGATCGATCTTGTTTAGACCCGGAAGCCTCTCTCCCGCGGCCATAATCTGCATCCCCTTCTCGCTCATGTGGCCAAGTCGTCGATGCCAAGTCATGCAGTCGACGGATGATGATGATGATGCTTGTCCTGCGGCAAGCAAGTGGTCGATCTTCCCGTTGGCGATGTAGAGAGACCCCTCGCGTTTGCCGTGTGCCACCACCAGGGCACCCTTGGACACCTTCCAGCTTCTCTGCTCGAAGGATACTCTGTAACCGGAGTCAGTCAGTTGCCCGACTGATATAAGATTTCGCCTGAGATCTGGTACATGCCGAACATCATTCAGCGTCAAGGTGGTCCCGCCCTCCATCTTGAGGGTACAATTTCCCTTTTCGGAAACCTTACAAGGTTGATCGTCGCCAAGATAGAATGTCCCCAAGTCCTTCTTCACGAACGATGAAAGCAGCTTTTGTTGTGAGGTTGCATGAAAAGATGCGCCAGAGTCAATGACCCACGCATCGCTTTTGTCTTCTAGGGATAGGAGAAGTGCATCCGAATCCGTCTCGTGCATGAGATTAGTTGCACCGTCAGCCCGATCATCCTCTGCTGATGCTGGAACAGTAACTCTGCAGTCCCGTGCAAAGTGGCCCTTCTTTCCGCATCTGAAGCACTTCCCTTCACCGTAACCATTCGGGTTAGGCCCTTTATACTTCCCTCTGAATTTTGATTGGCCTCGTCGTCCCCTACCCTTCTTCTGTGCACGCCCTCGTGCCTCAACATGTAGAGCACTCCCACTGCTAGAGGCCTCAGCTCCTGAGACTTTGCGGCGAGATTCTTCATCCAGAATTGCCCCAACCACTGTGTCGAGCTTCATCTTGTCATTGCTATTAGCGTTGCTCACCGCCATTACCATATTCTCCCATGAATCTGGTAGACAAGAAAGTAGTAGAAGAGCTTGGATCTCGTTGTCGAACTTTAGATCTACTACAACAAGCTGTTGCACCACAGCCTGAAATTCATTCAAGAAGTCTGCCACGCGAGCTCCTTGCTGCATCTTGAGATTGAATAGCTTCTTCATCAGGTACACCTTATTTGAAGCAGACGGCTTCTCATACAGCGCCAATAGTACCGTATTCATGAATAGTACCGTATCCGTGAATAGTGTCGTATACGTGAATAGTACCGTATACGTGAATAGTGCCCAATGCCTTAAAAGAGTAAATATTAATCTAACTTATTTTCTGATGTGGAGGATCCACTTTTAGTGGCAGCCACAGAGCATACGATAAGCAGATATATATATACTCTAAGTCAGGCTCTGATACCAGTTGTTAGGATACACCCCAATAAGAATGCCTCTAACGGAGACGTAATACACAAAATAAAGGCACAAGATCAACCAGAGTACTCACAGATATACGTGGTTCACTCCTTCGGAGCTACTCCACGGTGCAACGACGACGCCAAATTCTTTTATATCCCAAAAGAATTGATCCAAGAGAACACCCTCTCTTGATCAGATACACTCCAAGAACTCTCACAAACTCTCTCTGTGTTTTTTCTTACTCTTCTATAAGAGGAGTTGTTTCTGGGATGAGATTTCCTTAAGAGTTTAGGGCCCTATTTATAATGTTTGGGAAACACTATACACAAATAAAATATTAGTAGTGGGACCCACCACTAATAATAAATAATTATGGGACCCGCCAACTTTTCCATTTTTCTCAAAAAAAACGGTGCCTAATCTTTTGTCCTCATGTTGGCTGGGTCAAAAAGGTTGGGCGCCTGACATTGCTTCCTGTCATCAGAGGGCCATTTAGGATTGAAACCCTGACCCTAAATAAGCACACACAAAAAATCAACTTTTGCAGTAATTCATAAGCCCTAAATCTAAACAAGAGATTGACGATCGATACCTCAAAGGATTTTGTATCTCCGTTCTCTCCAACTGAAATACTGAAGACCAATTAATGGATCTTAATCTCCCCCATTGGGTTCTAGAGTTTCTTCTCTGATGCCATAAACAAAAAAGTTATCAAATTAGACACGATTGAGAGATTGGAGATGAGAGATTCAGAGATCCACAGTGCACTGAGCTCAGCTTCAAGTGAGGGTGACCGGTCGAAGAGGAAAGTGGGAGATATGAGACTAAACCATAGCACTTGGATGGAGGGAGGGAAATGGCATAGACGAGACCAGAGGGTATGGTCTTGTAGGCGGAGGCGTAGGTGGGGGGGGATCGGAGATGGATCGTTGAAGGGAGGATGTGGTGGCGGCGAGAAGAAACATAGAAAGTGAGGGTTTAAATTTTGGGATTTTTTGATTAAAAAACAGAAACACGCGATCTATATTTTAGTGCTTGAGCGAATGAGCGGGCATTAAAAAGTTAAGGCGCCCAAAAGTAGAGGCAAGCGCGATGCTTCCAACCCAAGTGCTCTTTAAACCCAAAAATAATGGTGAAAACATTGCAGAACCGTCACGCTTGGGGTCAAGCGCAACGATTAGAAATCGTTACCACTGAACCGTTGTCATAGAGCAAAATCGTGGTAGTGGGCCGATGATAAGGAGGTGGATTTTTTTAACTAGGGTTTAAATCGTTATTTTTGCGGTTAGAGGATTATTAGGATTTGTGGGTTTGTAAAATTCGGTTTTGGGTTTTAGTTGGGGCTTCGGGTTTGGTTATTGGATTTGTTAATAGAAATAGGTTAATTTTAGTCCAATTATGATTAGGAGTCTCATCAATGAAGGTAATGGACCCCTTCATTTTTAAGGAGACCCAATAACGACGGTAGTAGGATCAAATCAACGAAGGGATTAGAAAACCGTTATCCCATATCACAATATTTCTTTATTATTTGTAATCACTCGACGAAGGGTTTAAAACCCGTCGTTATTATATGCACATTAATGACGGGCAACTGTTCCCTTCACTAATTTTGGTCGTTAAATAGCAGATTTCTTGTATCGTGAGGCAGCCCTCTTTTAATGCCACGTGGCAGGGTATGATGATAATGTTATCCTCATGGACATGGAATGGGTGATGGGCTTGAGTTCTAATGTCCTCGCCAAGGTTTGGGTTCTTCTTTGGGTTTTTTGACCTTACGGTGCTCATTTATGGGTACTTGCGACGGTGAGTTGGAAATTTCCAAAATGTACACAGTTGCTATCGTTGTGCGGTGAGTTGTGAACTTCATTTTTTTAACTATGTTTTGATCCGATTTCATATCTAATATACACATCACTTTATCGTAGACATACTACTACTTAGACGATCGACGCTCAAGACGAATTTGCGTTGGGGAATGCACGAACCCCTATTTTGATCTCTGCAATTTAGAGATCAAATCGCTCAAGACGAATTTGCGTTGGGGAATGCACGAACCCCTATTTTGATCTCTGCAATTTAGAGATCAAATCACAAGTTCACAAGATAGAACAATAAATGCACGAACCCCTATTTTGATCTCTGCAATTTAGAGATCAAATCACAAGTTCACAAGATAGAACAATACCAAATAAGAAGGAGAAACATCAAAATTTACATGGTTCAGTGAACTAAGTTTGACTTATGTCCATGGGGGCAAACAACACGAAAAATCTACCACATGAGAGGGAAATCAATACAAGAGAATCGCTCAACTCTCACACTCTCTTAACTTCACATACACACTTATCCTTCACTTATGTTTTCTCTGAAGCTCCAAATCTCTTCTCAACCTCTCTTACATGAGAGACTTATATCCACTATAACAAATTGCACTTTTCCCAACGCTTATTCCCGACGCATGGTTAAATACGTCGCCAAAAAATATGTTTTTCCCAACGATTTTAGTTAGCATCGGCAAAACATATATTTTCCCTAACGTTTATAATTAGCGTTGCTAAAAGTGTATATTATTTGTGACATTTTAACTTAGCGTCGGTAAAAGTGTATGGATTTCGTGACGTTTTAGGCTTGGCGTCGCTAATAGTGTGCATTTATCGTGACGTGTGAGATTAGCGTCGCTAAAAGTCTATTTTTGACGATGCTTTTGTTCATCTGCGTCGCCAAAACATTTGGGAGGGAAATTTCTCCCCATTTATTTTCGTGAAAAAGAGGAAAGAAACCTCGTGCTCTCTCTCATCTCTCATCAGAACCATTCTCTCTCTCTCTCTCTCATCAGAAATCCTCAAATATCCCATTCTCTCCCTCTCTCTCATCAGAAATCCCCAAATCCCCCGTTCTCTCTCACTCTCATCAGAAAACCGGCCCGAAACCCCGTGTCGTCAGAGTTCGCCGCTGCCGTCGAAGTTCACCGCTGCCATCTCATCGGCAACATCTCTTTGTTTCTCTCTCTTCTCCACGATTCAAAGCAGCAATCTCAGCTTTTCTCTTTCAAGGTATTTTTCTTAGAACTAAATATGAATCAAACAGCCATCATCATCGGCACAAACTCCTCGTAGTTCACTTGACCATCTCCATCCACGTCGGCCTCTCTAATCATCTGCTCGACTTCTTCATCAGTCAACTTCTCACCAAGGTTGATCATAACATTTCTTAGCTGCAAAACATAGAGAAAATATAACAATATTTAACATATTTAACAAAAATCAAATTATAGTTGATCTGCATAAATACACCAACTAATTCCTTCGGGGAATTTTCTTTACTATTATTTCTTCCCTCCTCCTAATAAAGCTCAATCTTTCAGGTGTTGTTCTGTCATTTCTCCCTTTAAACTTTGTAATTGAATCTATTTTGGGATTTTATCGAAGGCTTGGTGTCCATGTGAACCCTCAGGAGGAGGTTCATGCTTAGATTGTTTGATTATCGTATTTGAATCATCTTTTAGGAGGAGGTGGTGTTCCAAATTTCATTAAAATAAATAAACTGAGGGCAAGGGTTATAGTAATACTTTATCAGAATTTATAATATATAGGATGTGCAGATCAGCCTGAGTATCAAACAATTTATATACATGCAGTGTGCCCCTAATGTTTACTTTGTGAAAGTGTTTCTCCTATATATCACTGGCTTAATTGGCTTTTGAATTTTCTACTTTTATTGATCTTCATTACGCTACAAGACATTGATTTATGTGTAATACCAATATGTTGATCCTTATCAAGCATGTCACATACACAAGTGTTATCCATTCATTTAGCTCCAATTTTACGTACAGACATCATCAACATGGAAGGTGGCAAGCAAGAATAGGAAGAGTTGCCGGGAACAATGATCTCTATTTAGGAACATTCAGTAAGTCCTTTTATAAATTCCATAGATTTATTGATTTATTTTTGGTTCATCGGTCACTTCATTATCACCAAGAAAATAATCTTAGTGCCTTCGTAAATGACATTCATAACTATAGTTCTCTATGAGTTCAGGAGGGTATTTAACTTTCTATATATCTTATCTTCTATGATAACCAATATGTAGGTTCTCAAATCACTGTCATGTTACTTTTAGACAAGTTATAAGTTATTCTATGGAATCCTAGGACTCTTGCACGTAGCGCATGTCCAAAGTAGTACTAGTCCCTTTTCCTTATGTTCCATTGTTGGAAATGAAGTTCGCTATAAATGAAGCATAGAGCCAGCAGCATTGTGCTATTCTGACATTGGTTGTTAAAATGACAAAAGTTTGAGAAGATGAGTTAGGATCATGATCTATTGTCCCCTTTGCATGATTTTGCAGGTATCAACTGTTTGCAGTTAGTTCAGTTAGTTGTTCATGTGGACTAGCAGATTGGAGATTTGTCTATAAGTTAATTAGGTTGCATTTTATATTTTTTGAAGGTAATCACATCCTTCTCTCTGGTTTTTCATTCTTTATTTTGTAGTTCATTGCTTTGGTTTTAAGCTGTATTGCTAATACTAAGTGAGAATATTTCTATAAACATCTAACAAATGCCAGTTTGATTTGATTATTTTCATTAATCGCTGCGAGTTATAGCAAAATTGGAAAATAAATTGGAACAACATTATCCACATCCTCAAGGGCAAACTTTTAAACCTATAGATGAAGGCAGAGTGACAAGAGAAAGATGATCGTTACTTTCTTTGAACTGAGGGAACTTTCATGTGATCAATTTTCAGCTCATGTTATTAGTGCTTTCTTACGGAATGAGTAGACATATTAGTGGAATTCCTCTAACAAAATATATATCATGCTAGTATATTACCAGCACATGATATGATATATGTACACCCAAAACTTTTTATAGAATGTGTAGCCTTTCTCAAATAATTTTAAAATTATATGATATATGTACACCCAAAACTTTTTATAGAATGTGTAGCCTTTCTCAAATAATTTTAAAATTTTTTGATGCTGCTTTATTCTTGTTATAGAATGTGTAGCCTTTCTCAAATAATTTTAAAATTTTTTGATGCTGCTTTATTCTTGTTATGCAGGAATTTGGATTTGATTATCTTGGAAGCATAGAGCAACTTGTCATGAGGTTACAAGCAAACTGGAATATTTAAACAGTTGTTCCCTTTTTTTTCTTTTCTTTCACATTTTCCTCTCTTTCCATTGTGTTTTTTTCCTTCATGGATTACAAGCAAACTGGAATATTTAAACAGGCATTTGAGTGTTGACTTGAAAATGGAAATGAATGTAACTATTTTTAGTCCATTAAGATGTGTATTTATTTTTTATTTTATACGATAAAATTTTTATTATTTTTCTTTAGATCATTGCAAGTTATTATGGATTATCTGAAGTATAATTTGGTTAGTTTTGCAATGGGAGAAAATTCTTTGTTTATTATAATATGCAACTTGTTTGGAATATAATTTGATGTTTGGTTTCTTTGTTGATATGAATGGGATCAATATTTTTTATGGATGTTCAGGTTCAGTGTAGGCTTAAAGTTGACAGAAAAGATATTACTTTTGATGATGTAAATTAGTGTCGACAAATTATACTTTTTAATGACGCATGCGTTGCCAAAAATTATACTTTTGCCGACGCTATCTTGCGTCGGCAAAAGTATAGCTTTTAGAAACGCTATCTTACGTCGGTAAAAGTTTAGCTTTTAGCGACGCTTCACTCTGCTCGCTAAAAGATGCACTTTTACCGACGCTAACATGCGTCGTCAAAAGTATATTTTTTAGCGATGAACAGTTTTACGTCACTAAAAGCTATACTTTTGCAGACGCATTGACCTTTGCCGATGCTACATGCGTTGCCAAACGTATAAGTTTTACCGACGTCTGCATACTTTTTGCTGACGTAAAATATTATGCATCGCTAAAAGATGTGTTTTTCCCGACGCATGAATCGTCGCCAAAAATGATGACTTTTACCGATGCAGTGTGTTTGTGTCGCCAAATACTTTTTTTGACGCACTTTTGGTGACGCGTTAGCGACGCTGCATTTTACGTCAGGAAAGATTTTTCCCGTCGTTTTTTAAACTTTTGCCGATGTTTTTGTTTCATCGGCAATGATGTATTTTATTCTAGTGATCGTGCTAAACCCTAGCACTAACTTGACCCAAAGACCCACTTGGCTTAAAGCTCTTTAGATACTAAATAGATACGAGACATATCTAAACATTATGTTCTTATGTAATTATCTTATTAATCACCTGGTACTTTTAAAAGTACTCTTCAAATCATCATAATTGTTATATTATCCTTCAAATTTTAATAAATTTCAGATTTACCTCAATTTTACATTTTAAAGTTTTTACATGAGAACACCTTAACTTTTACCCAAATTGTAATTTATCACTTTACTTTTTGATAGAAACCATCAACACACTACCACATATTTGCTCTAACGCAACGGTTCAAAACCGTTGCGCTAGCCATGGAACCGTCGCCCTTGAGCAAGTGCGACGGTTCTCAAACCGTCTCATATGCTGCCGTTGCCCTACCTCTACCGTAACGGTTTTGAACTCTATTGCGACGGTTTTTTGAACCGTTGCCCCTGCATCTAACGCAACGGTTTTAAAAGGCAAGCGGTTTTTAAGCCATTGCAACGGTTTTAATTGAGCAATTGCGATGGTTTTTAAGCTACTGCAGCGGTTTTTTATAGCTATTACAACAGTTTTAAAAGATCTAACGCAACGGTTTTAAAAAGCAAGCGGTTTTTAAGCCATTGCAACGGTTTTCATTAAGCTATTGCGACGGTTTTTAAGCTACTACAGCGGTTTTTTATAGTTATTACAATAGTTTTAAAAGACCTAACGCAACGGTTTGGATTGAGCTATCACAACAGTTTTGATCGAGCTATTGCAGCGTTTTTGATTGAGCTATTGCAACGGCTCCGATTGAGTTGTTCTTGGTTTCCTACGTCAAAATCATATAGTATTCAATTACCTGGACAATCTTTTTAAGAACATGGCCAAGTCAAATTTTAATACACAATATAAAAGTGAAAATGTTGAGCATAATCAACCATAATGATAAGTGCCAACATACATCAGTATAGTATAAAAACTACAAAGTATTAAATCCACACTACCAACATTTCAACTCAGAAAATATCGTACCGAATTTACATTCAAACAATGTACATCAACATTTGATTACAAAACATGAAACTTCTCGGTCAAAGACTTTATATTCATTCTCGATTGAGTTGTCAGTATCAATCTCAATCTTGACTTTCATCATTTCTGTACCTGTGTAAATTTCCATGAATCAGCATAATTTTGCAATGATGATAATAAAATTGGGGAAAAAAAGATATTGCAATTATTCAAAATAAATAGCTTAACATAAAGGAAATAACCCACCTGCATCAAAACCTTCCATTTGAGTAAAATAGATGGCTACAGTTTCTTTACAGTTTCATCACAGATTTCATTCCACTACTGGTTTTAAATCAGTCTAATCATATACAGCATCAATATATTTATGCACTGATATATTATGCACTGATATATTATGCACTGCACACTGCAATATATTTATGCGCTGCAATATATTATGCAGGAATCACTGATATATTATTACTGTAACAAAATGAGCACGAAACCACATCAGACGCAGAAGAGCACAAACCTTCCTAACATCTAGTAATCTGATTGTGAGTCAAGTCGACAAATTCAGTGAGCGACGAAATGCTAATGATTTCTTTAGGAATGGTACCTGTAATCTGATTGTATGAAAGGTTAAGCAGTCGCAGAGCCTGACAATTTCCAAGTATGGGAGGAATACTTCCTTCCAATGCATTCTCTCCTATAAGAAGTTTATTCAGTTGAGTCAAGTTACCAAGAGATGATGGAATAGTACCTGTAACTTGAGATGATGGAATAGTACCTGACAACTTGTTTCCAGATAAATACACTTCTTGTAGACTCTGAATTTGGCCAATACTTGTAGGAATACTACCACTTAAAATTTTTTCTTCCATACCAAAAACAGTTAAGCTTGCAAGATTCCCAATTTCTTTAGGTATTCTTCCAGAAATCTTGTTAAACCCTAGTTCAACATATTGAACTGATCCTCAGCCCAAACCAGTTAGCTAAATATTATCACCAACTGTTTCCATCACTCAAAGAGAAGTGATTAACTAGTAATAAATGAAAAGAATGAACAAGCTAAAACCCACAAAAACTGAAACCGGCATTCTTTGTATAATTAAGTGTATTATTATACATACAAGTATATTTACACAGCTTCGAAAATAAACTGTAGAGAAGAAGTTCACACCACCTTGAGCTAGCTTGTTGAGTGTGAAGCACCACTGTTTTGAAGACTTCCGGTATGCAGAGAGTATTCAATCCATCTGCTCATTAATGAAAAACAATGAGACAGTACCTGTGGGCAAATTTGTTTTTTTATTTTTTATAGGCATTACTGATAATAACCTTATGAAACAAACATTCTAATCTCAGCTTCGAAAATAAACTGCAGTCTATCAATATGCAATCCAAAATTGTCAATCCACAAAGGGTCCTCAATTTAGATGGAGACGAGACGAAATTAATGTTCTTGGGTTGGAGTACTATTTTTTGGTTAACAATGGACAGACACAGCTCACTGTCTCAGAAGCTCGGCACCTGGGATGTCATCTAAGATAATTTCATGGAGCTCTTTTGGCATATATTTGATTAGGAAAATATTTTCAGATGAACTCCAATTAAGAATTACAACATAAATGAGATTGCATCTTCTACGCAATAGTCTAGTAATACAGCAGTCCCATTGGAACTTGTATTTCAAAATTACTCAGACTATGAACTTATCTTCTCATTGGCACATTAGTACCTCCGAAGTCTGACATGCGATAATGTTCACAATTCATCATTGTACAAAAAATAATAAATTCTGAAATCAAAGAGTAAATAAACATTTTAATTTGATATCTTGCAGGGTCAGTTGATGGCAAGGGTATTATCAGTCAAATACAATCAGAAACACAGACTAATTAATTTCCTCATCACTGACACATATTTGATCAATATTAGACAACTAGTAGATCACTAAACTAGATAATAACTAAACAACATGGAAAATTAGATTTAAAAAATTAGAAGAAGTAGTTTTAACATTTTCTGATCCTCCCTTTTTTTAATTTAACATCAGTCCCAAATGGTTACCATAGTACAGTAAACTCCTGAAATTAATAGATTAGGGGGGTTCATTTTAGTATATTAAGATTTTGAAGGGAAGTAAGAAAAAATTATGGATTAAATAGGGCACATCCCTATTTTTAAAGGGTGTCACCGAAAACACCTTAATATATTTCGAGTGTAAATTAGAAAACTAAATATCTTGGGGCCTAACATAAAGTATTGGAAAGAACCACAAAGATATTGAAATGAGCAAATTCAATAGACAAACTTAGCAAGCCACGAAGATATTAAAAAAAATTCAAAACTTTGGAGGAAAGATACCCCTTTGATGATTTAACAGTTAAATCTCAAACACCCAATATGTTTTTAGCAAGTGAATCATAATGATCATATTTTTTACTAATCAAGTCACTATAAAAAGAACCAGATAGTATTTACTAGATGCAACTCTACGAGAATAACTTTAATTCAGAATTGATTAATCAATAGCAACACAACATAATTAATAACTCCATAAAATTTTCAATAATGTTCTATATATAAACATATGAAGACATATAAAATTAACTAATATGTCAATAATGTAAACGATTGAAGAACTCTTGTTAATTATCAAAATAACACCATAAAGTCCACGACACAATTTAGATTGAAGGACTCTTGTTAATTATCAAAATGACACCATAAGTTCCATGAATTCACATGCATAATATCTCATTGGACAAGCATGTGTATGTTCACATGTCAGTGGGTCATAATATCCTCTGATTTGTTATAACTTAAATTTCAATATGAGATCATTAGGTGCAAGGTTTAGGAGGTTTATCCACAATTGGACAATAGTCCTGAGGGCCTGTCCTCAATTAACACTTGAAATTAAAGACAACCTGCTAAGGAACGTAATGCTTTGGGTATCTCATTGTGTTTTGAGTATGGAGGCAAATGAATGAGTAGAATGCACTGTACCAAATTAGATACTAGTGAAGGCCAACGTGCCCATCAACAAAAATATCCTTTAGAATTCATATTGGCAGAGATCTGACTATGTTTTTTTGCTGATTGTTGGCTTTATAAACAGTGAAAGGATAAGACATTGAAGCACAACCCAAACGGAGTATAAGTCCTATTTGTCTTATCTTATCCAAAAGTTTTCCCTAAAGTTTCTCCTCTTATACCTGTAACCTGATTAAGAAAAGTCAATGTTAATATAAATGTGTGGCCATAACCACATATATTGAGTTTGACAAATACCGTATAACTTTGTGAGAACTTATCATGCACATGTCAGCTCTTCACCTGGCCTGGGCTCTTCCTTGATTAGGACCATGGAGGATAATTCCTTGTCTAGCTGCCATTTAATATCTTTTAAGATGAAGAATTTTCATGTAGCTGACAACTATATGCGAAAACATGGTCAATTTTTTTTCCTTTTAAGTTTTCTGAACAGAGGGTAATCATAACAAGTGTTGAAGTTCATATTATTGTAGTGAGTTAACGAGAGGGATAACTCTTTCTTTCATTTTCCACTTATCATAACAATGTCAAATTTCCTTCCAATAAGTTTGGTGACTTTTAGCAATGTCTCTATGCTTGAAAATGTTCTGTTTCAAGCAATTGCCGTGTATGCTACATCATTTAAGGGGATGAAAACTACAGGTATCCAGCGTAGAAAGAAAAAGACCTATGGAAAAGGAATTGCATTAGTGGAATGGATTATTTGCCTATGGAAAAAGACCTCAGGCCCTACAATTTACTTTTAAGAGGTACTTCATTTATTTATGATATAAATGAACTCCATCTCCTCCTTTCTCCAAGGCTGCTTTCTGGCATCAAAAGAATTCAGACGCAGTTGACTTATCGCTCAATAAGCATCTTTACAAATTTATTGTCACGATTACGAAATTCATATGATATTGAAACTCTATGAGTACGGATGCCTTGTTGCGAGCCAAAGGAGGAAATTATGAATAACAAAGGAAACGAAATGCACAAGCATATATAAGGGGGTTTTTTTTTCCTCTCCTGATACGAGTCCTACTAGTCATTCATATTTTGAAACTAGTCCCTCTACAAACACTTTAAAAACAGGCCAGAGGGTGATGGGATTGGAAACATGGCAATTGGTAAGGGAGGGTGTGTTCACCATTTCAGGCATTGCTGTTTTCAGACCAGATCATATTTATCTTATGCAACCAAAACAACATACCAAACTTCAACCTAAGAAAACACATGGTTTTATAGTTTTTGATAAATTTCTTTCAAATTTATCTAACGAGTCAGCCTTACGAAAGAAAACACATGGTTTTATAGTTTTTGATAAATTTCTTTCAAATTTATCTAACGAGTCAGCCTTACGAATTATAGATACAACTATAGATACAAAGTATAGATACAACATACCAAACTTCAATACTATGCATGTGAATTTCCTACAAAGTATAGATACAACTAAATGCACAAGTTTGAGATTAAGATACAAGAGAACTTACTGGGATACGATTGTCAGAATTGTCGAACACTATCTCCACAAAAGCTGAAACAACTTGATGTCCAGCACCTTCCTGTCATTTGTGAAAATCCAAGTCAACAGAAGACACAAAACAATAAGTAAGAAAGAGAAAAATAAAAGAAAAAGATGGTTACATGGAGAAGGGCCTGTCTATCTTCATTGCGCAAGTTGTGAAAGAGGTCGCTGAGGACAAAACGTATGGCTAGAAAAGGAGACTAAATTCAGTAAAATTAAACAAAAATATATCAAAAACATGGGGTTGTCATTGATGAAGTTATGTTAAAAATATGAAACTCAATACAAGAATGTATAAAACAACATTACTTCTATGACTAAAAGCATGCAAAAAGATCTTCCTGGTTTTAGCTTAGGGGCTGTCAATAAAGTTGCAGATGTAAATACTGCAACCAAATTCATATTTCAATTGTTTGGTCTGCAAGATTTTAACTAGGAAAGGGAAACAAACTTACATTTGTAGAAAAAAATCTGTAGCAAATTGCTGCCAATTTGGAGGGAGCAAAAGTTGCATCCTCCAAAAAAGAGATTAAAAGTAAAAAGAAAAAAATAATTCCACCTCATCAAAAAATCTTTTCTATTCCAAATAAGAAAACGATCACACCCGTTTCGTTATGTGATAAAACTATGCATCCTTTTTCCCTTATGTGATAAACTTACACAGCTTTTACACTAATTGTTTTTCAGCCTTTCCCACAATAAGATTTTAGATATGCAAACAATAAATTTGAATTGAATTTGATTTCCAGCAACAAATGCTACATGCAACAATATCTCTGCAAAATTTGCTTCGAGCTGTTTCTGCAGCAAACCTAACAGCCTCTTAATGTCATTTGTGAAGCTACCGAGCAACGTGAGTACAACTTTAACAAAACAATCTCTTAAGAAAGAAAAACACCCGATGTCAATTCCAAGAGATATTAGGCAAACCAAAAGTTTTGGCGTCAGTGCTCGCAGATCAAATTTTTATGTCATCTTCTTTAAGAACATAGTAGTCGATTTATTCTTACAGATAGTGATATACTGACATAAACCTTGACATCCCTCAAGTAGAAGCTGTTATCCATCACAAACTTCACAGATTGTCTAGACAAAGAACTAGATAGTGTTATGTTGACAATCACTATAATTGAATACACTTCACAATACTTAGCAATCATGTAATTATATCACCATCGTGGTGCTAATATTAACTTCTTATTAGGTAATGCCATTAATCAGCTTTATAGACCTATACACTAAACTTTTAAGCAGACCATTTCACATTAGCTTTTAAGAAGGGTTGTGTGTCCATCTCAAAAAACCAGGGCACTTGAGCTCAAGCTTGGAATCAAACAACTTGACGCTACAAGGAGTGAAAAAAGGGGGAAAACATCAAAAATCACTTGAGCTCAAGTTCTCCTTCCGTTCTCCAATAGCAAAGATTGAATCTCCTAATTTGGTCAGAGATCATGAGAAGAGATTGGTTGATCCAACCCTACAAAGCTCCCATCAATGAGATTTGGGGCTCAAAATCACAAAATGAATATTTAGGGGCGAAGAGAGAATGGGAAATTTGCGAGGTAATTAAACTTTAGAAGAAGAGCTACAAAACCTCAGCATTGAGCCTTTAGATAATCTCTAAGCAACCAGTTGAACTGAGATAGGGTTTTGCAGACTTCTCGGCCCAAAAACAAAACGACTGATAGGGTTTCCAGTCCCCGCATAAGACCTAAATCAAGAGCGGAATCGAACAATTCCGTGCTAAAACAACTGCAATTAGAGAAAACGAAGGCATCAAAAGAAGAAAAAAAAACCTGAAATCGAGGGGTCTTTCGATCTCCAGTACGAAAGATCGAACCAACAAGAGTAGCTCGACCTTGAAGATAATATCGGAGAGGAGATTGGAGATGACATCCAAGATGAAACGACGACGAGTTCAGTGATGAGATCGACGACGCCACGGCGATTTTAGGGAGCGGAAATTTTTGGCTTAGGGATTTCCGTGAGGATTTGAGAGAGAGAGAGAGATTTCGTTTAAACGGTCAGGGACATGGGCTTTAAAAATAATTATTAAGCCCAGGAATAATTATGAGACCTATGGCAACGTTTTTTTATAAATTGTTGTATTAGGTATTGCAAACTGTTACGATAGATATCTAACGCAACAGTTAAAACCGTTGCAACTTAACCGCTGCAATAGGTCAATTATGTGGTAGTGACATTTGCTAACATGTTTTCAATATCACATATTTTTTTACTATTCAGCTCAGAAAAAACTAAAAATGCTCATTTTATCCATCTCCTCTCTCCACCTCCTTCCTTGCCTCCCCTCTCTCCCTCCCCATCCTCCTCCACCTCCTCCCTTACCTCCTCTTTTCCTTCCTCCACCTCCTTCTTTCCTCTCATTTCCTCGTCCTCCTCCATCTTCTTCCCCTCTAGGGTTTCTCCAAACTTAACCCCTTCTCTCCTCTCCTCCCCCTCTCCCCTCTTCCTTTTCAATTTTCACCTCCCTCGCCTCCTTTTTTTTTCCCTCCTACTCCTCATCCTCCGTCCCCTCCTACTCTTTCTTTTCTATAAAAATAATTAACATGGTAAGTTATAATTTAGATAAAACTTAAGATAATCTTTATGTAAAACATTTTTTTAAAGTAGGGCAAGATCCCTTACTCTCTATACATTAAAACGAAGGAATAGCTACAAATGACACTCAAAAAGACAAGAGCTAATGGTTCTATAGCAAATGAGAGAACCACCAACTAGAAAATCAAATTAAAGTATTTTCTTATTTTGAAATTATGCTCTCTTGCTTGACTTAATTTTAACGGTTAAATGTGTATAGACACCCGCGTCTCATTTGGTATCGGGAATGGAGGCAAGTGAGAATTGAATGAAGGTAGCAATTGAATGGAATTGATGTGGGAATGAAATGCTCATTCCTATTCTCATATTTGGGCGCGATTAGAGAATTAAGTAGAAGTATCTTTAAAAAGGGTATATCCAAAATATATTTTATTATTTTTATTCTCACATAAGTGGGACTATCAATTCCTTGACAACTCATTAGGAGTAACAATTCTCTCATTAAGTGAGAATTGATGAGAAGTGAGAATGACATTTCTAACATTCAAAAAGCACATCATATTTGGTAAATATTGATGAGAACTACTTAATACTCCCCTACTCTTATTTTTTTCACAGATAGATCCCTCAGTGAACACTTTATCACTTCTTTTTGGTGAAGAAGAAGGTTATTATGGGTATTTAAGAAAATTATGCAAGTACATGTCTTGGACATTTTGTTTCCAAACAAAGGTAACAGCAAAACTGACATCAGGGGGGATATGTAAAAAAAAATTAAAAGTAGTGCAAGATGCCTTACTCTTTACATTAAAACAAAGAAATATTTACAAACAACACTAAAAAAGACGAGAGCTAATGGTTTTATAGCAAATGAGAGAACCACAAACAAGAAAATAAAATTAAAGTATTCTCTTATTCTGCATTTATACTCTCTTGCTTGACTTAATTTTAAATGTTAAATGTCTATAGACACCTACATCGTGTATGGTACGTGGGAATGGAGACAAGTGAGAATTAAATAAAGGTATAAATGAAATGGAATTAATGTGGAAATAGAATGTTAATTCCCATTTTCTTATTTGGGTGTGGTTAGAGAATTAAGTGAGAATATCTTTAAGAAGGATATATCTAGAATTTATTTTAATTTTCACTTAAGTGAGAACATAAATTCCTTGACAACTCATTAGGAATAGCAATTTTCACATTAAGTGCGAGTTGATGAGGAGTGAGAATGACATTTATAGCATCCAAAAAGCACATCATATTTGGTAAGCATGAATGAGAAATTGGAATAGTATTCCATTCTCACTTATTCCCGCATATCAAATGAGACACTATAGATTGCTATTTCAAACTTAATACCCCTCTACTTTTATTTTTTCACAGATAGATCCCTCAGTGAACACTTTGTCACTTTTTTTTGTGAAGACGAAGGTTGTTTGGGGTATCCAAAAGAAATCATCAACCACATGCTCCTTTGAATGACTATTTTTGCTCAATGGCTACTATGAAGGTAAGAAAAGATAATAATTCTCATTTCTTTCTTGGTGAATTTTGTGCTTATGTGAAATTTATATCTGAAATTAAACCAAAAAGTGTTAATGAAGCTATAAATGATAAAAATTGGATAATAGCCATGCAAGAAGAGTTTAATCAATTCACCTGACATAAAGTGTGGAATTTAGTCTCTAATCCAAATAATCATCCTATTGTAGGATCTAAGTGGGTGTTTAAGAACGAATTGGATAGAAGAATGTAATGTCATAAAAAATAAAGCTAGACTTGTCGCTAAAAATTACAATCAAATAGAATGCATTGATTTTAATAAAACTTTCACTTAGCGCCGGTTGCTAGACTTGAAGCCATCATGAATTCAGGATCTTACTTATTTTTTTTCTTGTTACAAAGGTTTTAAGCTCTATCAAATGGATGTCAAAAGTACCTTTCTAAATTGGTATCTAAAGGGAGAAGTCTACGTAGAATAGCCCCCTGGTTTTATTAATCATGCATTCATGATCACGTGTATAAGTTAGATAAAGCTTTATATGGTCTTAAACAAGTACCTCGAGCTTGGTATGATCATTTGAGTTCTTATCTGCTTAAAAAATAACATTAAAAATGGGTTTACTGACAATACCTTATTTGTTCATTCTGAGGAAAAGGATATTCTTATTATACAAGTGTATGTGGATGAGATTATTTTCGGACTACAAATAAAGATCTTTATCATAGGTTTGAGAAACTCATGTATGATGAATTTGAGATGAGCATGATTGGAGAGTTTAAATATCTTCTAGGATTTCAGGTGAAACAGATAAAAGATGGAGTGCTTATAACACAAGAGAAGTATGTGAAAGAAATTCTAAAACACTTTTGGATTGATAGTTTAAAGTCTGCAACAACTCCAAAGATCGTTTCACTAGGTTGAGACAAGATTTAGACATTTTATCTCTTAATATCTAGCATGTGATATGTCATGTTGTATGTATATATATATTAGATTTGATAGTTTTCTTAATTTTTTTTGGGTTTTATTTGATTTTTCTCGATTTTTTTTTACTTTTCATATATCAAAACAAAATAAAATTTTCTCTTTCTTTATTTTTTTTGTTTTCTAGAAAAATAGAAAATAAAAGAAAAAATTATTTTTCTTTTTTAGGAAAAATGAAAAACAAAAAAAAAAATCACATAGATGAGTAGGAGTAGTCACTCTTGTATGAACACAATCAACCTCTGTACGTGGCATCTATCAGATCCTGCAGGCATTAACTAAAAGTTAGTTAATTCAAGGGTCTTTAGCCTTTTTAATCTTAAAAATGCATTAGGTATAACTTTTTGGTTGGTATTTTTGAATTACGTCTTGTAGTTGAAATTACATTTTTGAATTACGTCTTGTATTTGGATATAGTATGATTTCAAACATTAATGTTTTTCTAACTTCTCTAGTTTGTAGACTATAAAGTTTGAGACAAAATATTTCTCCAACAACTACTACAACATATCCTTATATACGTATGGAACATGTCAAAAGTACTTGTTCCTTAAAGCTGATTGATAAAGCATGAAGAACTTTACTCCTAAAGAATTTTGAACTTCAAATTTTGCCTGTAATTAAAGAGAAAAGGGGTCAAGTTTAAGAACGAATGAGTTCTTAGTAAACTTGGACTCAAGCCATGATGATTGCCATTCTCCTTGGTATCAAAAGTTCACTCTCATAGAAAGCATGACTAGCCTCCCTAAAAGCATGATGATATGTTGCACACTATAGAGATTTTCATATCATCCACAACATTAATTAACCAAAGTGCCCCTAACAACTCCACTACCTTTCAAAAAGATAAAACTTGATGACACTTCCTCTTAACCTCTTAAAACACTTGTATATATCGAGATGGCACAGATGACATAGTTGCACTAGCTATTCTCACTATCTTCTTCTTGTCTCTCCCTTTAAAGAAATGACAATGGATATCCAAAGTGAGCCTACCGACTACCGGATTGAGCTCTTATCGCCGATGAGGCTTGAAGCAGGGATAGCCGGCCAAGTAATTCCGATGGAGGATCATCATCCATGGAGGCTTAATTTGAATGACTTTCAGATGCCGGAGGGGCCGGAGGATCCTACTTTTGTCTCCAGGGTGCTTCAAGGCCAAGGTACTTATTTTCTGCCTTAATACATCCCCACAAAGAGTTTTTATTAGCACTTTGAATCTATTTCCCTTTATTATTATTATTATTATTTGATACACACTTTGAATCTCAATTTCAAGACAAGTTTTATATCTCTTCGTTATGTATATTCGTCATGCGAGTGTCATGCTGCATCAATATATTGTAAACAGAACTCTTGATATTTCGATATGATGGAGCATATTCTCCAATAGTACAGATACACTATATAAAGATAATTATGATCATAATCATAGGATTAATCTAGGATCTTAATCTTAATAAAAGGCTAAATTTTAGAAGACCCCCTTTACTCTGTACGATGATTAGATAACCCTCAATAACTTTCAAGCTATTAGACAACCCCCTTTAACTTTAGAGGTTATTAGAATAACTTATTCACCCTTCAGCATTTTGCAACATCAGCCCCCTAAAAACGTGAACCACAATTTTCACAGGCCAAAATATATTCATGTGTAATTTTACTTACCATGTAAAAATTGCACTATACATTGGCAGAGGGGTTAATGGAAAAATCTTAAAGATATGGGTGGGTTATTGTTT